TTCAGCAAATATGACATCAAGGAGAAGAATAACAAAACGAAAAGACAAAAAAAAAGCAACGTCCAAGCATATAAAAAACCATAAATATGCAATTTCACTTTAATAATACATTTCGTTTTTGAGCTTAACACAAATACACACAGAACATTTTGTGAGACTGTGTTATTTGGACTCAGAGGACCTCAAAACGTGTATTCCGTTCACGATCGCAATACTTTCATTTACAATATATTTCATATATAGGGAAGTTAAAGTAAAAAAAAAAAAATCAGTAAGTGCACAATGTTCTGATTTTACATAATGACTTTTTGCAATAAAATGACAAGATGGTAAATAATTGTTTTATATTATATATTGTACTATCTGTTATTTTTATTTCATTATGTATGAAAATGCCGATTTCTTCTTAAAATATGGCGGTAAGCCCACATTCCAGGTTTTTTTTATATTGATAGCTTAAGTTTCAAACCCGAGAACTCAAAGGTAAATATTTTATAATTAAATGGAATAATAATTATATATTACATACCTGTGAAATTATTGACATCAAGGAAACATATATCACCGTTATCAAGTATAAAGAACCGAAAAAAAATATTGCAGCATTAATCATATCAATCTTCGCTGTAGCTATCCAAAAGGCAAGAGCCACAGCTGATACAAGTGATGTCGCGATCAAAGCCAGGATTTGAAGACCGAAATATTCTTCGATAGTTTTGCGGAGGAATACCAACTGCTCGAACTTTCTCAAGAGCACTTTATCCTCTCTGATGTTCTTGAGGTGAAAGATGGCGGAAGCCAAAAGTGAACCAATTGCAGAAATCTGTTCTGCGATTGATAAAAGTACCATAAAATAGTGAATGCGTTTTACTACAGCCGGGAAAACTCTCCTGTGATTGCGAATTGCCAAAGTAAACATTGAAATCATGAAGACCGCCAAACCCTGGTATTTCTTCCACCACCTGAACCGATAACACCACGGCACACCTAATTCTCGAGTTGACTGTTCGAACGCGAGAAGATCCTTGTATAAATCCCTTAATCTTCCAACTTTGAAATAAACACTAGCGAAATTTAAAAACGGAGGAATTAGAGAAAGGATTTGGAGTAATAACACAATATAGGTATCAACAAAATTATTGATCCTATAGAAGTCGTATACGATTAAATGAAGGAACAAAATTAAATCGATAACGAATACCAAAAGCCCCCATGATAGTTTATAATTGCGATCCAGCGGAAATGTACCGATGAGCCTCGGGAAAAAAAAGATTTCTTGGAAGGCTTTGTCTACGTAATACTCTCCATTATTTTCCATTTCCGACTATTCGCAGAGTGAATTGTCAAGTCCGTTCGTTGTAGAAACTAAATGATACCTATAATCTCTAATGGCGATATTGATTTGTATTATATCAAGTGTTTTCTTCAAGCCGGTTTGTATTTACACACCAAATATTATTTGTAAGCTTATGATCTTATCGGAGTTGTCAGCTGATAGATCACTTGCGATTCATTCAAATAACTGAAAGAGTACAATATGAAAGAATTTTTATTCTAAAATTTAAATAACTCATTCTTTTTTCTTCCTCATTAATGAAGGTAAGAAAGTTTTTCTTAGTTTCGAATATTCTAAACAAAATTGTACAAGAGATCCGAAAGTCCCGCTGCTATATATTTGGTTAAGTATTTTTCTTTTCTGTCATCCTCTTCGTCATTTAGGTTATACGGATTTTTTTCACGCCAGGGGTAAGGGCGGGGAATCAATGCCAGAGTGTAGTGTTGTCCAAATGCGAGACCGAGAGGAGTCTTGGTCTTGCTCAAGAGTCTCGCAACAGTCTTGCAGTTACTTATTAGCTTACTACTATAGAGATATTACTGTAATTTTTTATGTAGAAGAAACCTATCTAAGCCCGAATGAAAATTAAGAGGAGTTAAATGCATAAGTATATTCGTATACAATTCTTTACACATAGTATATAGGTGTGTATGTCTTGTTTTTATTTATTTATTTTTAGGTTATTTTATTCTTATTTATTGTATATATATTATTTTTCTGTATAATTTATTTTATTTATTGTACATAGAGTGTGAATGTGATCTGTGAACTGTATTATAAAAGTCCTAGAGACAGATTGTAATATTTTTCAATAAATAAGTTTTAAAAAAAAAAAGTAAATAAGATTGTCGGGTATTAGTAACTACTTTGCCTTAATTTTTATTTTTTGAAAATTGATTTTTTTTAACCAGTCTTGTCTTATAATTATATGTATATTTACCTAATATTGTCGGAGTCCTTATTATATATATTTTTTTTTTCTTATTTAGAAATATAATAATCTGTAACGTGGATAATAATTATAGTGAATATGAACACATTCACACCACATATACCAAAAACATAAAATTAACAAAAGTAAAATAATAACTAAATAATAATCAAAAAACCATGTACAATTTTTTCGATTGATTTTATTTTGGCCAGATGTAATCTTTTTATTTTGTTATTCTCAAGGAACTGTGTCCCACAATAAAATTATTTTTCTATTCTATTCTACAATAAAAAATAAAATAACCTAAAGATAAGTAAATTAAAAACATAATAACCGAGTCATACCTATATATTATATTATGCTCATGTTACGTATCGTATTCCTTTGGCTCCTCCATTACAACTATTCTCCGTTAAAATCTTTTATTTCTCCTTTAGTTAAATATCAAATTATTTCATATTTTATATTTACTTATATTTTATAATTAAGATTAATGTGAAATGGTCAATGGTTTCAAATAAAAAAAAATGAAGGTACTTTAGAGGAAGCTAATATTGAAAATTAGCCTTTCAAGCCCTGTTAGAGAACATCGATCGGAATAATAAACACATTTTATTTTAAAATGCTTAATTGTACACTGATATGACAAATTTAATCAAAATAGTTATAGCGGTTTTCGAGATAATCGTAAACATATATTTAGTCCATTATATAATGTGCCACTTCCGTTAAGCCGATTTTGACGAAACATTTGCTGTAACATCTCTACCATATAAAAACTCTACATATGCAATTTCACTTTCGTACGACTTTTTGTTTTTGAGCTAGACTGTTAACACACACACACACACACACACACACACACACACACACACACACACACACACACACCATTTTGCGGGACCTGGTAATTTGGACACAGGGGACCTCATAACGTGTATTTCCGTTGAAAACTCAGATTCAAAAATGTTCACGATCACAATACTTACTCTTACTATCTATTACATAAATAGGCAAGTGAAAGTAAAAACAACACCAAGGCCTCCAAAATTAAATATTGAGTCCTCTACTGATCACAGGAAAATCTGTGCTATCTGCTGGATCTCCTACAAAAATCAGAGAAATTATCTAAAGCGCCGTTATAGATTTCGAAACAACTTAAAATAATTAAATACTTCCATCGCACAACAAATATTATTTCGTACTTCAGAGGGAGTTAATATTGAAAACTAGCCATTTAAGCCCTGTTAGATAACATCAATCAGAATGAAAATTAGATTTTAACCGTTTTCGTGCAAATATGTTTAGTTCATGATAAACTACTAAAGTGCCACTTCCGGTTAGCCGATTATAATGAAAAAGTTACTGTAATATTCCAAACATATAAAAACCTTAAATATCAAAATTCACTTTGATAACACTTTTCATTTTTGAGCTTAACATAAACACACACACACACATACATATAACATTTTGTGAGACTGTTAGTTATTTGGACTCAGAGGACATTAAAACGTGTATTGCGTTCATAATAGCAATACTTTCATTTACTACATATTTCATATATAGGGAAGATAAAGTAAAAAAAAAATCAGTAAGTGCACAATGTTCTGATTTCACAAACGGGAAGTTCAACAAAGTTTCAAATTCCAAACCAAAGATTTAAGGTTAGATAGAATAGATAGAAAAATAACTTTATTCTGGGACACAGTCCCTTGAGAATAACAAAATAGAACAAAATTAAAATATTACATCTGGCCAAAATAAAATCAATCGAAAAAAAAAATAATGTAAAAAAAATATAAGGTAAAAATTCTATATACAAAACAAACTAAACTATATACAAAACCATTAATACTATGACAAGACACTTAAAGCTATTTGCTCTTATAGACCAGTATACACTTTTCCGAAAAAAATAAAGAATCAAAAAATAAAAATGTATCAAATTCTCTATTAAAATCCGCATGGTTAGCAAGTATCTGACTGTTTTTGTGATAGGAATTGGAATAGGAGGGATTTGAATGTGGATATGGAGGGGGAATGTCGAATTTTGATAGGGAGGGAATTCCAGAAATTGACAAAGCGAACAATAAAGGAATTTTGGAATGAGGCAGATCTGTGAGAAGGCATGTAAAGGTCAGAAGGTCGAGATCTTGTGGACAGGGAATGGACTGAGGATTTGAACTGGAGAAGGTTGTAGGCGTAAGAAGGACGATGGTTGTTGATGATTTGGTAGAGGAACGTACCTAGAAAATATTGTCTTCGGAAGGAGGGGAAGAGCCACCTTAACTCAGTGCAGTGGTGAGAGACATGGGAGTACCTCGGGGCACCAATAACAAATCTTACGCAGCTATTCATTAATCTTAATCTTAATTTTAATAAAGGTTATGTAATTTTACATAATGACTTTTTACAATAAAATGACGATATAGTAAATAATTGTTTTAAATAATATCTTGTATTTTCTGCAATTTTTCTTATATTTCATCATGTATGAAAATACCGATTTCTTCTCAATGTATGGCGGTAAGCGCACATTCCAGGGTTTTTTTTTTTTTTTTTTTTTTATCGAAAAACCACACCCGAGAACCCAAAGGTAAATATTTTATAATTAAATGGAATAATAATTATATATTACATACCTGTGAAACTATTGACATCAAGGGAACATATATCACCGTTATCAAGTATAAAGAACCGAAAAAAAATATTGCAGCATTAATCATATCAATCTTCGCTGTAGCTATCCAAAAGGCAAGAGCCACAGCTGATACAAGTGATGTCGCGATCAAAGCCAGGATTTGAAGACCGAAATATTCTTCGATAGTTTTGCGGAGGAATACCAACTGCTCGAACTGTCTCAAGAGCACCTTGTTCTCTCTGATGTTCTTGAGGTGAAAGATGGCGGATGCCAAAAGTGAACCAATTGCAGAAATCTGTTCTGCGATTGATAAAAGTACCATAAAATAGTGAATGCGTTTTACTACAGCCGAGAAAACTCTCCTGTAATTGCGAATTGGCAAAGTAAACATTGAAACCATGAAGACCGCCAAACCCTGGTATTTCTTCCACCACCTGAACCGATAACACCACGGCACACCTAATTCTCGAGTTGACTGTTCGAAGGCGAGAAGATCCTTGTAAAAATCCCTTAATCTTCCAACTTTGAAATAAACACTAGCGAAATTTAAAAACGGAGGAATTAGAGAAAGGATTTGGAGTAATAACACAATATAAGTATCAACAAAATTATTGACCCTATAGAAGTCGTATACGATTAAATGAAGGAACAAAATTAAATCGATAACGAATACCAAAAGCCCCCATGATAGTTTATAATTGCGATCCAGCGGAAATGTACCGATGAGCCTCGGGAAAAAGAAGATTTCTTGGAAGGCTTTGTCTACGTAATACTCTCCATTATTTTCCATTTCCGACTATTCGCAGAGTGAATTGTCAAGTCCGTTCGTTGTAGAAACTAAATGATACCTATAATCTCTAATGGCGATATTGATTTGTATTATATCAAGGGTTTTCTTCAAGCCGGTTTGTATTTACACACCAAATATTATTTGTAAGCTTATGATCTTATCGGAGTTGTCAGCTGATAGATCACTTGCGATTCATTCAAATAACTGAAAGAGTACAATATGAAAGAATTTTCATTCGAAAATTTAAATAACTCATTCTTTTTTCTTCCTCATTAATGAAGGTAAGAAAGTTTTTCTTAGTTTCGAATATTCTAAACAAAATTGTACAAGAGATCCAAAAGTCCAGTCACAAATGTCATAAATAGACAAGTGAAAGTAAAAACAACACCAAGGCCTCCAAAATTAAATATTGAGTCCTCTACTCATCACAGGAAAATCTGTGCTATCTGCTGGATCTCCAACAAAAATCAGAGAAATTATCTAAAGCGCGGTTATAGACTTCGAAACAACTTATAATAATTAAATACTTCCATCGCACAACAAATATTATTTCGTACTTCAGAGGGCGTTAATATTGAAAACTAGCCATTTAAGCACTGTTAGATAACATCAATCAGAATGAAAATTAGATTTTAACCGTTTTCGTGCAAATATGTTTAGTTCATGATAAACTAGTTAAGTGCCACTTCCGGTTAGCCGATTATAATGAAAAAGTAACATTCCAAGCATATAAAAACCTTAAATATGAAATTTCACTTTGATAAGACTTTTCGTTTTTGAGCTTAACACAAACACACACACACATACATATAACATTTTGTGAGACTGTTATTTGGACTCAGAGGACATTAAAACGTATATTCCGTTCATAATAGCAATACTTTCATTTATTACATATTTCATATATAGGGAAGATAAAGTAAAAAAAAAAAATCAGTAAGTGCACAATGTTCTGATTTCACAAACGGGAAGTTCAACAAAGTTCCAAATTCCAAACCAAAGATTTAAGGTTAGATAGAATAGATAGAAAAATAACTTTATTCTTGGACACAGTCCCATGAGAATAACAAAATAGAACAAAATTAAAATATTACATCTGGCCAAAATAAAATCAATCGAAAAAAAGAAATAATGTAAAAAAAATATAAGGTAAAAATTCTATATACAAAACAAACTAAACTATATACAAAACCATTAATACTATGACAAGACACTTAAAGCTATTTGCTCTTATAGACCAGTATACATTTTTCCGAAAAAAATAAAGAATTAAAAAATAAAAATGTATCAAATTTTCTATTAAAATCCGCTCGAATGGTTAGCAAGTATCTGACGGTTTTTGTGATAGGAATTGGAATAGGAGGGATTTGAATGTGGATATGGAGGGGGAATGTCGAATTTTGATAGGGAGGGAATTCCAGAAATTGACAGTGCGAACAATAAAGGAATTTTGGAATGAGGCAGACCTGTGAGAAGGCATGTAAAGGTCAGAAGGTCGAGATCTTGTGGACAGGGAATGTACTGAGGATTTGAACTGGAGAAGGTTGTAAGCGTAAGAAGGACGATGGTTGTTGATGATTTGGTAGAGGAACGTACCTAGAAAATATTGTCTTCGGAAGGAAGGGAAGAGCCACCTTAACTCAGTGTAGTGGTGAGAGACATGGGAGTACCTCGGGGCACCAACAACAAATCTTACGCAGCTATTCATTAATCTTAATCTTAATTTTAATAAAGGTTATGTAATTTTACATAATGACTTTTTGCAATAAAATGACGATATAGTAAATAATTGTTTTAAATAATATCTTGTATTTTCTGCAATTTTTCTTATATTTCATATATGAAAATACCGATTTCTTCTCAATGTATGGCGGTAAGGGCACATTCCAGGGTTTTTTTGTTTTTTTTTATCGATAGCTTAAGTTTCAAACCCGAGAACCCAAAGGTAAATATTTTATAATTAAATGGAATAATAATTATATATTACATACCTGTGAAACTATTGACATCAAGGGAACATATATCACCATTATCAAGTATAAAGAACCGAAAAAAAATATTGTAGTATTAATCATATCAATCTTCGCTGTAGCTATCCAAAAGGCAAGAGCCACAGCTGATACGAATGATGTCGCGATCAAAGCCAGGATTTGAAGACCGAAATATTCTTCGATAGTTCTGCGGAGGAATACTAAATGCTCGAACTTTCTCAAGAGCACTTTGTTCTCTCTGATGTGTTTGAGGTGAGCAATGGCGGATGCCAAAACAGAAGTAATAGCTGAAATCGATTCTGCGATTGAGAAAAGTATCATAAAATAGTGAAAGCGCTTTATTGCTGTTGGGATCCATGTACATAAATCGACTTGAGGCAAAACAGTGCCAATCGAAATCACGAATGTGACCAAGCTCCGGTATTTCATCCACCATCGATATCGAAAAGACCACACCACTCCTAGTTCTCGTGTCAAAGCTTCGAACGCGAAGAGTTCCTTGTAAAAATCTCTTAATCTTTCAACGTTAAAATATATACTAGCGAAATTTAATAACGGAGGAAATAGAGAAAGGATTCTCAATAATAATAAAACACAGGCTTTAACAATATTATTGTTTGCCAAGAATCCGTCGAGCATTATATAAACGAGCAAAATTAAATCTATAATGGACACCAACAGCCACCATGATAGTTTATAGTTGCGATCCAACGGGAATGTGCCGATGAGTCTCGGGAAAAAGAAGATCTGTTGGAAAGCCTTCTCTACGTAATATTCTCCATTCTTATCCATTTACGAAAATTCGTGGAGTGAAATGGCAAGTCTGTTGGTTTTGGGAACTGAATGAGGCCAACAAACTTTTCAAACACAGTATTGATCGGTGTTATTATATTAAGTGTTTCCTCCGCCTCAGATATTATTTACTCACTAAATATTATTTCTAATGTTATTTTCTTCTCCCATAATCGCCGGCAGTTCGAACACTTTAATAATACCGATATGAATTTTCATCATAAAATAAAAACTTTCTCAAGGTAGTGTCCTCAGCACTATCCTTTACACAGTTTATACAGCTGAAATCTCAACCCATCCTAATCAATGCTGATCATAATCAATCGCACATCACAAGTAGTGTTGCCCAAATTCGAGACCGAGACGAGTACTGGTCTTGCAAAGTCCGTCTTGGTCATGGTCTTGGTCTTGCGCAAGACTCTCGCAACAGTCTTGCAGTTACTTATTACCTTACTACTATAGAGATATTACTGTAATTGTTTAGATAAGAGAAACCTAACTAAGCCCGAATGAAAAATTAGATGAGTTGAATTCAAAATTATATTGGTTATAGTAACTAAAATTGTCAAGAATTAGTAACTATTTTGCCTTAATTTTTATTTTAAAAATCGATTTGTTTTACGAGTCCTGGTCTTGGTCTTGCAACAATTAGGTAACCTTGGTCTTGGTCTTGGTTACCCCAAGACCGATTTTGGGCAACACTAATCACAAGTCTTGAAGAATGGTGTCAAAACTGGAGGATTAAAATAAATTCCAATAAATCCCATAAAATCACCTATACCATTCCTTGTTTAATCTTTGACTTCCTGTCCTACAGTATCCTTTAATAACACCCCACTTATCCCTGTTGAACATATCTGTTACCTAGGACTCTACCTGGAAAAACACCTCACTTGGAAATCTCGTAAAAGACAAGAAATTGCTCAACGTTTCCAACTATTCCAGCACTTACTAGACAAACGCTCTTAGCTTGCAATTAATTATAAAAGAAATATATGATTGTATGAATCTAGGAAAATGTTCACCATTTCATCCTCTTTGTAATAAGGCATAATTAAAAAATCTCAACGCAACGACGGGTTAGAGAGGTAAAAAGAGAAAAGAATAGAGTCGAAAGCCAAATTACTGTGAATTTCGTTGAACATTTGATTAAAATATCTCTAAAACTAAAATTCAGACCTGCATAATGTAAGTTAAAAAATCAGGTGCACACATCACACGACTTTCACTTGCCAGACAGAATCAAGTATTTTCAAACGGGAAGTGAAAGTAAAAATTATAGACGCTATATTTATTTACATTTCATTGTGGATATTTTTATTTGTTTTAATATTCTTACATATATAAATTTTAATTTTTATTGAATATTTAATAGTTGACCGTTGCATCATAAAGGAATGAGATGGTCCGGGGTGGCGGTCATAAATAGGCTAAATAGTGGTAAAACTATTTTATTAAAAGTCAACGTTTCGACCCGACTTTGCAGGTCTTCTTCAGGAAGGTGTGTTCAGCTAGGACTTTCACTTAGAACTGTAGGAGGATTCTAAGTGAAACTCCTAGCTGAATACACCTCCCTGAAGAAGACCTGCAAAGTCGGGTCGAAACGTTGGCTTTTAATAAAATAGTTTTTACCTCTACTTAGCCTGTTTAGGACCGCCACCCCGGACCATCTTCTTCGATTTTAATTTTTACATCGCTGTATTCTATAAAATTAAATATTAAATAATACCAACCATAGCATTTATGAAAAAAGAAATATATATATATATATATATATATATATATATATAATATATATATATATATATATACATAATATTGTCGAAGTCCGTATTGTGTTAATCTCATGTCACGTATGGAAGCCTGTTGTAATCTTTCGGGCGAGCTCTTAATTTATTAACCGTTACGATTTCTTATTTCTCCTTTAGTTAATTATCAAATTCTTTCATATTTTATATTTAACTATTCTTTATATCAAAGATTAATGTGAAATGGTCAATTTCTTCAAATAAAAAAAGGTACTTTAGTGGAAGTTAATATTGAAAATTAGCCATTTAAGCCCGGTTAGAGAACATCAATCATAATAAAAACTACGCTTTATTTAAAACTGCTTAAATTTTACACTGATATGATGAATTTAATCAAAATCGTTAGAGCCGTTTTTGAGAAAATCATAAAAATGTGTTTAGTCCATGATATAAAGTGCCACAACGTGTTAGGCGATTTTGACGAAAAATTCGCTGTAATATCCCTATCATATAAAAACCTTAAGTATGCAATTTCACTTTCGTACGACTTTTCTTTTTTGAGCTAGACTGTTAACACACACAGACCATTTGGCGGGATTCAGCAGACCTCAAAACGTATATTTTCTCTAAAAATGAAGATTCGAAATTTTTCACGATAGCAATACTTTACTATATATTTCATATATAGATAAGTGAAGATAAAAATGCTAATTATTTGGATTAAATATTTTTTTTTTTTTGTCTATAAAATATATATTTGCGCCTGTCAATAATAAGTTGACAATCAGCAAATGTGATGGCGATAATGATATAATGACATGACAGGCATGGGGAAGGAAAGTACTCAGCAGTACCTCTTCCCTAACTTGTTCCAATTACTTAGGTTGTCTAAGGAAGGAGATCCCTCATCCAACGCCTTTTTAGTCTCCTCCTCAGGTTCTGAGGTATGTCAGCTGTGGCCATGTCTCTTATAAGTCTGTTATTATGTCCATTTAAATTTGTGTAAAATCGTTGATATAGGGTTGTTATATTTGGTCAACTGTTGGAAAGTGGAGGTCAGTATGTAGAGTTTTGTTAGTCACGTACCAAGGTGCTTTTGTAATGAGTCGCAATAATTTTGATTGGAACGTTTGAAGTTTTTGTAGGTGGGTCTTTTTAGCGATGCCGTATATTTGTGATGAGTATGTCCATATGGGCTTAAGTAAGTATGTATATGTATTCAGTTTCTGTTTTAGTTTTAGTTTTGAAGATTTGGCAAAAAGAGAGTAAAGTAGTTTGAGTCGTTTGTTAAGTGTCATACGCTTCATTTTAACATGTGGGCCCCATGTCATCCTTCTGTCGAAGGTGAGTCCAAGGTAAAGTACCGTGTCCGTTTGAGGAATTTGATTGTTGTCAATATAAACTGGAGGACAGGTGTTTTTTCGTTGGATTAAATATAAAACAAAAATATGTTTTTCTATTGCCAAAACCAGAGATTCTTGACAGTGACCATTTATTGATAAGTTTAAGTTGGAAAACGAAAGAAATTAGTTTTATAGTAAGTTAAAGGTAATTTTTGTTAATCTTAAAGTGAAAAATATAAAATTTCCCTTAAACACATCCTTTTTCTAATCTCTTTCAGCTATGTTAGCTACTGGTAGAGCAAAACTATTCTTTTAATTTGGATTTTTTTTTTTTTAATTTAGATAAATGTTTCATGGATTTGAAATTTCTCACCTTGGTAAGGTGAAAAATAGTTCTATAAGATGAATCCATGAAAAATATAATAACATCAATATTTAAGTTTTTACACCTAAAATATAAAGTAAATTTCCTTAATCATGTCACCTACTGGTTCATTTATCCTAAGAGGATCTAGAAAGTATTCAGTGAAATTAATATAATATTTTACAAACCTCAGTAACTATTGAAAGCAGTTTGAAGTATATTGTCACCAAAGGGTATAGGCACATTAGAGTAATGCTTGCTTCATAAAACATACCCAGGGAGTTAGTTGTCATCCAAAAACATAGTAAGACAGAAGTTACAAAAGACGACGCAGTTAAAGCCAGTATTTGTGGGCCGAAATAATCTTCTATATTTCTGCGGAGGGACATCAACCGATCAAACATCCTCAGAAGTTGTCTGTTGTCTCTGATGTACTTGAGATGTCCAATGGCCGATGCCAAAAGAAAAGTAGTTCCTGAAACTTGATCCGCGATGGAATAAAAAGAGTTGTAAATGATCATACGTCTTAATGAAACCTCTAAATTCTCCATCGAGATGAATCCGAAATCACGTATTACAGCGACAATTGAATTCGCCATGATTAGAAAACCGAGATATTTGTGGTACCATCTGTAACGAATGACCCAAGCCAATTCAGTCACACGTGTAAACTGTTCGAATTCGAGGAGTTCTTTGAACAGACGTTTGATTATGTCTAATTTCAAGTATATGCTAACGAAATTGCAAAAAGCTGGAATCTGTGTAAAACCTATACGCAACAAAATATCGCATGTTTTTGCATTATGATTTTTTATAAAGATGTCATAATAGGTTACGAACATCAATAAGATGGAATTGTTGACGAAAACCAACAGCCCCCAAGGTGATAGTTTGTAATCCCTACCGAGTGAGAAAGTACCGACTAGTCTTGGAATAAAAAAAATCTCTTCGATTGCTCTCTCTACGCAATACTTTTCATTATTATTCATTTCGGACCAGTTCCCGAGTGAAACATTCAAAAGCTCTATGGAACCAACCGGCTCATACTGAAATATAGGATCGATTAGAACTATCAAATTAAGTGTATAAGTCACCTAGATTAGTGTTTACAAACCAAATAATATTTGTTGTGCAATAGAAGTATTTATTTATTTTAAGATGTTTCGAAGTCTATAACCGCGCTTTGGATAATTTCTCTGATTGTTGTAGGAGATCGTGCAGATATCACAGACTCTCCTGTTCTGAGAGGACCCACGATTTAATTTTGGGAGGCCTTATGATTTTTTTTTTTTTTTTTTTTTGAATGCCAGTAATTATTCTGGAAGAAGAAGAAAGAACTTATATAAATTAATGTATAAGCAGTCCTTGAGGTACTATCGAAATAAATTGTTTACAAAAATAAAAACGATTTTGCTTTATTATTTTTAATAATGAACCACTTCAATCGTTCAAAAAAATGAAAAACTTAATCCCTCCCCCCCCCTTCAAAATTTGATGTTTAACATTTCAGGATATTTAGAACTCGTAAATCGGAAAATAAAATAAATGTGCCTGTCCGGCGTCCGTGCATTTTCTCCGAGACTACAGGACTGATTTTTTTTTCAAATTTGGAATTAAAGTCATAGATCTCTCGACGATGATCCTTCTACCTCGACATTACTATCCGCCCTTTCCTTTCAAGATGTCGGCTGAAAAACCTGTGTTGGTATAGACTGTAACGCCTGAACGGATGTACCGATTTCAATGAAACTTGGATAAAGTCATCTCTTTCGAAACCCTTGAATTTTATCTATATAACATAATTCAACAAAAAAAAGCAGGAAAAAAAAAGTACTAGGAGTTATAAAAGTAGATTTCCGAATAACTAAAAAATTATACTCTTTTTTTTTGCTGTTGTATATAGTCGTTTAAAAAATGACGAAATTTCCTAAAAATAAATCGTTGATATCGGACAATTTAGTGCAAAGATATGGTTTTTAAAATATTTTTCATATGTTTTATTGCAAAGCTTATTTCCTTTGTTTTGATCTTTAATATCCTGAAAGTGTTACATCAACTCAAGCAATGTGTTTTTTTTTATTCTTAGATAATTAATTAATTAATTAATGATGTAATTAAAAATTATTTAGGGCAATATTTGGAATCACTTTTTTATTTGTTTTTTTACAAAGAATGTTTCAAGGAATTCAGTGATATTTTTGATATATAATTGTTTGGAAATAATAAACTATTGTGTAATAACTTGCTGCGTTTTTTCCTTGGCATTTAGTAGCTAAAATACATGAGTTATTATTTTTAAAAAGTACATGGTTTGATTAGGGAGTGGAGTAGTTTAAGTATTAAGAGACAAGTAATTTTTCATCAGCTGTGGATCGACCCCGGGGTCAGGAAACTCTATTGGGGTACACCTGGCTTCTATAAATTGGGTACTCTTATTTATAATATATAATTAAGAGGGAAAAACTTATATAATATAATATAATATAATATATATAATATATAATTGAGCGTGATCCCGGCCTGATCACATCCGTGCTTAACCATTGGCTTTGTAACAGTTCTTGTAAGTACTTAATCTAGAAAGCTTCATGTAGTTCTACAGATTTTTTTGTTTACATGTTTTGATTGTTTAAGTTTTTAGCTCAGTTCACTCTTAGAATCAAATTTGGATCTTAAAAATACTATTATTCCATTTTCGATGGGAGCACCTTCTTGAAAGCTCCTCCCCCATAGATCTATCAGATGCTGTGATACACTACATTGAATTATATTTAATATCGAATATTTAATAGTTGACCATTGCATTATAAAAGAAAGAGATGGTCCGGGGTGGCGGTCATAAATAGGCTGAATAGTGGTAAAACTATTTTATTGAAAGCCAACATTTCGACCCGACTTTGCAGGTCTTCTTCAGGTCTAGAACGGACAAGATACAAAAAGATAGAGAATTGTGGAAATTACATAATATCTAGACAAAAAAATTATAAACAATGTGAATAAACTTATTAAAATTATAAACAGTAAGTACATTAAAATATGAACAGAGTAAGCTAAGTAACAAGATCCTCAACTGAAGTAAATAAATGCTAACAATTGTTGTAGTGTAATATGTAATAAATGGAAATGTGAATATACTTCTACACATCTACAGGAGAGATTGAAAGAAAACGAAAAAGGATATAATATGAAATAATCGACATAAAGAAATGTGGAGAAAGAAAAGAAAACCAAAAATATAAAATTAGAGACTTACAGGTGTGTTCAGCTAGGAGTTTCCCTTAGAACTGAGAACCAGGGTAAGGGTAGGTATTGGGGAAGCTGACTTGTTTGGGTAGTCTAAATCCTAGAAAATTACAGTATCTAAAATATGAAGATATGGATGGACATAAGCGAAAAATACTATATAAATAGAATTAAGAGATTATAGATAAGAGTACAATGTGAATAAAAACAAAAATGGAAGAAGTAAAATATAAATATAGAACTGACTTCATTTACATTCATACATTGCAGAACTAACTTAAAAGTATAGAGAGGGAAAAAAATAGTATATTCATATTATATCCTTTTTCCTTTTCTTTCAATCTCTCCTTTAGATTTGTAGAAGTATATTCACATTTGCATTTATTATATATTACACTACAACAATTGTTAGCATCTATTTACTTTAGTTTAGGATCTTGTTACTTAGCTTACCCTGTTCATATTTTAATGTACTTACTTTTTATAATTTTAATAAGTGTATTCACATTGTTTATAATTTTTTGTCTAAATATTATGTAATTTCCACAATTCTCTATCTTTTTGTATCTTGTCCGTTCTAGCCCTAAAGAAGACCTTCAAAGTCGGGTCGAAACGTTGGCTTTCAATAAAATAGTTTTACCGCTATTTATTACCGCTACCCCGAACCATCTCCTTCCTTTATATTTAATATCAGATACTTTTCAAAAGGATCGTGTTATCCAATTGCTATTTATATGTATATAGTAGCATACAGGAAAAAATGTGAAAAATCAGGATTTAATAAAAAAAGATACTATATGTGATTTTAAAAATTATAAATACATTATGAATACCATAGGCGCAGACTTTTCATTTTAATTGGGGGTGATGGCAATGGACAAAAGAAATTTATAATAATGTAGAGATGGTTGACTGTTGATATGATATGAGAAGGAATTAGTCGAGGGTGCGGTAAAAAAAAAATAAAAAAATTAAAATATATAAATAATTTTGATTTTTGCCGACGTTTCGACCCACTTTGCAGGTCGTCTTCAGGGCGTTGGATGTGGCACTGCGGGAGGCGGTTGAAACACTGCCAGTGTTTCAACCGCCTCCCGCAGTGCCACATCCAACGCCCTGAAGACGACCTGCAAAGTGGGTCGAAACGTCGGCAAAAATCAAAATTATTTATATATTTTAATTTTTTTATTTTTTTTTTACCGCACCCTCGACTAATTCCTTCTCATAACAAGCAAGTGGAGGTTACCTTTAATTGTAAATAAACAGATAACGGGACCAAAGGTTAAGAAGTGAAGAAATTGAAAGATTAATAGGGTAACATTAGTGTGTAACATTAGGGTAACATTAGTGTGCCACGAAATTTATAATAATTAATGTAGTTTATATTATTTGTAAAACTCGACATAATTATTGTTAAACAAACGGAGCACAGCCTTTATAACATAGGTACATTTCTATAACTTTTCCAGCTAAAAATGAATATTATTAAAAACTTAAATATATTTTTGATTTCTTTGCACAACATTAAAATTAAAATAATAGGTTTTCATATTCTAACTAGTTATTTAAAAGTGTCTATAAAAATATTCTCTATAAAATATATTTATACTTGTAATTATTAAATATATTTTTTCTTATTTTATCACAGAAAATTTATAAGAAATAAATAATGAATATGAGAGGTGAATGAATCATAAAATCCTAGAATAAGTTTCTATATTATTATCCCATGCCAGCTAGTTGACTTTTCTTCAATTTTAGTTTACACATTTCATCCGTTTGTATAGCTTATTTATTATCAATTTTTTTTCTCTACTTTAAATAATTGGAGAAGGAGGTGAAACGATATTGAAGTCTGTGACTACGATGAATATTGCATGGAGAATGTTCATGTGACCATGATTGTTTACCTTATTATTTTACAAATTGCCAACACAGATTTAAAAAACTGTTGGATATTACTATGGATGTTATTACTTAGCTGTCTGAAGGAACGTTGTGGAGTCTTTCCCACTTTCTTCTGATCTCTGGTGCTGCTGTCATCTAAATATATCTTCTTGAATGCTACTTCCATCTTCCTAGCATCCATTCTTCTTTACTGAACATTTCTTTCAAGTCTTCTTACAGGTGCCTGATCATCTGATCTCTTCTTTGGACAACCATCTCCAAGAAACTTCTTAAGACTCCTCTCTTAAATCTCTCTAATTGACTCTCTCCCTGGATACCTCTCACTGCCTTTCTTACATCAAGAATCATTTTCATCTCAATTTCCTACACTCTTCTTTTACAGTATTTTCTATTGGTTGAGGTTTTCTAGTAAGCGGCTCCTACTATTTAATTTTTGAAATTTGAAAGTGCTTTTTCATCTTTCAAATAGACAAAAATTTATATTTATTATTCTCTAAGCCTCTTTATCTGAGAGGCATAGTCCTAGCAGATAAGGGTAGATACTAAGACACTGTCCCCAGTCCACCTTATCTACCATATTCTGTGTTGGCATTTATTAAAATATTTCTGTGCTGGGCTGACTCTATTTATTATTACATTCATGGAATATGTATTTCAATTTTATTAAATAGACTATATCTTACACATAAGTCTTCTTGATACATAGCATAACAAAAATTTTCTTACAGGCTTCGATATTGTGGTTGATGATATGCTTGAAAACATTTACATCCTACATACTATGTTATTGGATCCACTTTTTCTGACTCTTACTATTATATCCTATATTATTGTTTATCCAAAGTTCCAAGACTTCATAAATAATATTTAATAATTTAAAAACAATAAACAGTAATATTTTTTATGGTAGCATAGTTGCTAAATTAATTCAAACTGAAAATTTAATGAATTTGTACTAGAATAAAATTAAAAAATATTTCTTTTTTAGAAATTACTTAAGAAAGATCATAGAAATTGCATCAACCAGTGAATATTTTATTACATTTTATTTTATTTACCAGATTGATACTGCAAGACCTCCGGATATTTCTTTGCCAGTTATGAAACGATATTCTAAAACTAATCGCATGATTAAGCTGTTCAATTCTTCCTTTATTTTTTTTTCTCCTCCCAGTTTCTTTCTTTCGCTCCATGGTGCCTTTTTTTTTGGAATTATGACTACGGATGATCTGGAGTACTCTATTCTCATTACTATTTCCTGTAAAATTTCCTTTATTTCGTGTAACATCACAATTTTAATGTTGTTTTTTTTACGAGGACAGTTTTTGATAAAGGTCCTAATTACAGCTTGTATCCTGTCATTAATTAAAATTTAACTGAGAAACATTGTTAAAGTTTTTTTTGTAGCCTTAATAAGCAAACAAAAACAAAAACATTCAATGGAATCAACATTATCAACATAAGAATCAAAAGCAATAAGTGATGCAATATCTATGACTGCGACTGTATTTATATCTGCTTATAGAAAATGGAAATCAACAGAGAATGATAAAATTTAGATAACATGGTTGTAATTAAATTAATACACCCACTATGATATAGGTTGTGAATTCTTTTTATCACAAAGCTTTGTCATATTATGAGAATTTGTATCACCCAGGGATAGAGTAGTCCCAACCTGAGCCACGGACTTTTGACTAAATAATAGCAGTAACATGTTTGTGCACTTGTTTTCACTCTATTCTGAAGTATATATGTTAGGACCTAACAACCATTGTAAATGTTCAAAAATATTATTACTTTTCATTGTTAGATAATCAGACTTCAGTTTTTTTTTTAATTATTCAATTTTTTTTCAGCAATGTATGCCAATGGATAATTTCAAAATTTAAAATTTGTTATAAATGTAAATATTTTGGTCTTTTACTAGTTACTAATGACATATATACTCACCACCATTAAATCAAAAAATTGGAGCTGGCAACACACTAGTTTTAAAAGCAAACTCATAATGAAAAGAAGCGAATTCGGCAAGTGTCATGAAAATGACCAAAATATGGCAGCTGGTAAAGTCACTGCTACAACAGTGCTGACATCTTACAGAACTGTTGCTGTGTAAACAAGATTAATTAGAAATTTGAGATTTGATTAGATTATTACCAATTTTTTGTAAAACATTTCTTAATTAAAAATCCTTGATTAGTAATGATCTTCTGAATAGAATTGTAAAATGAACATACCATGTAATGTCAAACATTCTTGATAGCAAAAGCAACTCTATGAACTACTCTATGAATTAATTTGGACAGGGATATTACTGTATAAAATTATAACAATTTTTTTACTGTTAAAAATTATATTTTAATAAATAACTTGTACATACGTTAAACAATTATTTTCTTGACTATAAACTTATTATAAAATTATAACAATCAAACAAATAAATTACAGCAAATAAATATTAGGAACAAGGTGTTAACCTATATTATATGCTAATAATATCACAATATCTGTCTTACTTGACTTATTTGTGCGAGGCAATATGTTTTATTTATTTAAGACAATTCTTATATATTTATTTTAATAAAAATACCCTGAGATGAAAAAATGTTGCAATTAGAGCTGGATGGTAAGGAAATAATTATATATATATCAATAAATGAGCTACATGTTCTGAATAAATTGTCAACAAGGATAAAATAAAAACTAAATTTAAACATTTCTTCCCTCTATTTAAGCTATCAAGTTCTCTGTTCATAAATCCTTTTTTATTAATTTATTTTTTAAATTATTATATCTTTTTAATTATAATAATCAGGAATACATTTGAGTTGTGATTTATTTCATTTTTTCTCTTTGTAACAAGTAGATCTATCGTCAATGATCATTTTCTAACTAAAACACATAAAAAATTCACTTTATAATTTTCAGGTTTTTTTTTTTTTTCCTACAGTTTTCAATTCTAAAATAATGTTTTTTGTCTTTATTAATGGTTCACTAAATGGAAGAAACCTAATAATGAAATAAAAACCAGGAATAAACCATGATTTAAATTTTTTTTTAAATTATTATAGATATTAAAATATGCACAATTGAAAAAAAATACAAGCACTAAACAAAATATTTTTAATATACAAGGATTGGGAAATATAATACTGGGTTAACAAATAAAATTATATTTAAAACCAAATGACTAAAACTGATACGACTTTGTCTTAATAAGTTTTGTCTTCATTTACCTCTAAAGGTGTGATTAGACATTTCACAAACTATGAGAAACACAGTTATCTAACTTAACTTATAGCAACATTAGATGGAAAATATAAAAAATAAGAACAAAATCACTAGAGGTAGGAAACTAAACACTTTATATATTTGGGTTTCACATAGTTTTTGAAATGTTTAAACACACTTTAAAAATCATAAAATGTCAAAACAATAAGGCCTTAGAGATAAAAAAAACTTGTCTGAACAAATAAGGCATGGATAAATGCAGGGGAGATTAGGCAGGCCTCATCCTTAACCAATTTGAAAGAAAATATAACATAATATATTACAAAAGTTTAGCCGAAAATACAAGTAAATTGATTTTTAAAAAATGTCGTGTTGCATACAAAAATATTTGTAAATTTTAATAACAATAAACTACTTAATATGATATTATAGAGTTTGAAATCATTTATCTACCTGAGATTTTTCCTAAAATAGTCTTCCCTCCCCCAACATAAAAGCTTCGTATGCTCTTGAAAAAAATTCATATAAAGACAGCTTTATTTAACAAATATAAAACATAATATATAAATAATAATTATAGGCAGTTAATATAAATATTAATGGTATTCATGCTTATACCCAACAACTATAAAATATAATTTAAAAACTTAAATACATATATACAGTCTTTAAATTGAAATAAATATGTACAAATTAAAAAAATTAACAGGATAACGTGATTAATTGTAGTTATAATTAACATGGTTAATTGTCATTCCAAATGGTATTCAAAGCATCTCAATGGATTATGATAATTTTTTTATTTTAAAGCAATTGATCTGTTCATTTTAGAATGTATTTTGTTTTTAATTGGACTCGCTTTACCAAAATACATATTGAGGGAGGCAAAAGAAGATAATAATATTGGACCAAATAACAATATTTGGTAACATAAAATTAGGTTCCTCATTAATAATATATAATTGATTGCATAAATTTATTTTAGAGGTAGGAAATAAAAATATAGAAATGTTTGACTGTGAATTTATATGGTTTATGAGCAACAGCTCAGTTAAAAACTTTAGGAGGATGACAGAATGAGTTGATTGGAAAATTCTGTTTAAGTTTTTGAAGCTGGTGGCTTAAGAAGGGATCAAAGTAGTTTTGAAGATAATACTGAAAGAATTTTCACCTATGTGGTATCTAAACAATCAAATCAGGTGTCATAGTTGAGTTAAATACTAGTAATAAATAATAATCACAATTTAAGAATAAACCTGATAACTGCCACAAATTAGTTACGAATCACTAAAGCAGGGACTGGACTCTAAGGCGTCTAAAGCTGAAGATTGTTCAGTGGAAAAGTTAGTCAATCCTGTTCAGGAAAGGACCAATAGAAGCTACGTCTTCACAGTCTGGTATCAGCTTTCCCTTAAACTTGAGGCAAGTGTCAGCGCAGAGCTGTCCTTCGAAGTAGGCACCGAACATCTTCTTGCATTGGGCGCAGTTGCGGATGCAGACACCAACCTGGTTGGCTGGCACTAATTCGACGCAGAGGCAAGACAGCAACAGCACGACCACCAGTCTGGAAGAGTCCATCTTCCTGTAACAGAGATAGTCCTTCAGGACAGGAGTACAGAATCTCCTCAGAAAAAGAATCTTTTTGTTAATAACAGGTTCAAGCGGATTTACGGAGGGGAAAGAGGGCTTTGGGCCTGAAGCTCCCCTCCCCAAAATGGTGAAATATTACCATGTTTTATGTTAAAAATATTAAAAAATTATCTCTTAAAGTATTATTATTCATGTGATTATATTTAAAAGGACTTTAGGAATCACTTAAACACTATTTCATATAGGTATTTAGTTTCTTTCTTTTTTTCCAAACTAATCATCATTATTTTTATGGAAAAAAAAAAAACCTTTCGGGATGAAGCCCTCCCAAAATTAAATCCTGGATCCGCTAGTGATAACAGGTATATTATTAGTATATGTAGTTACAACTGACTAGTTGAATTTATTTAAACAAGTTGCTAGATTTTAATTTTTTTTTTCTTTTCTTTTTTTTTCTTTTTTTTTACCATTTGTACCATTCAATCTGGAATTCTTTACCTATCACTGTATGGCAATCCTCCTCCCTAAATTCCTTTAAACAACTCTTATTCCATGACTTACTTCGTTTTAAAACTTCTGTATCTATGTAATAATAGCTCATTACAAAGAAGATGAAATGATGAACATTCCCCTCGCTTACAGTATGCAGGACCGATTTTTAGTTTCTGTGATATTTTAATTCATATGCAAAACACTTCAATTAGTCGACTCGGACCGACTTTACCCGAATGGTCATCAAACATCCGATTCTGACAGCTAATTCACTACCCAGACCAAAGTGCAAAACGCGCCTAAAGATGTTTTCTAAAAATCTGTGAGTAATAATATTTTGTAGACATCTTAATTTTTGTGTGATTGGGAATGTTATGGAAGTTTTTTTTTGTATTGAAGACTTAGAAAAGGAAACAACAAGGAGGAATGGCCATTAGGCCACTTCAGGTAGGAAAGAGCCATTTCAATATGGCGTACCAACAGAGAGCACCTATGAATATTGAAAATAAATCTTCAAAACAATTCATAGTCTCTCTTTAGGACTCTCATAAGGTCTCTTTAGTCTCATTTTCATGTTGATTCCTTTAGTTGATGTAAGACTTTCCAAAAACAAAAACAAAAGGCATCAGCTTTGCAGTAGAACATGTGAAAAATATTTAGAACATCATATATTTCCACCAAAAGGATCAAATTTCCACAATTCTTTTTTTGTTTTTTAGGAAATTTCGTAAACTTTTAAATATCCATAACATCCACAAGAAGTGTATACTTTTAAGTTATCTGGAAATCTAAATTTACCATCCCTCATACTTTTTTCTAGCTTCTATCGATGAAGTATGTTATATACATAAATAAATAACAATTTTTTTTATTTATTTTCAGACGAACCCAAACAAATGTAGTTGAGTTTTATATACATACATTTATAAGAGTATAAATAAGTATGATACCTAAATTAATAGTAAAAACAATATATAATATAATATGATATACAAAATAAAATTAGTGAGTTTGATATAATTATAAATAAAACGATCTTTCTTTAACAGAATAAAATGTAATGCTTAGTCCTAATATTAATGCCATGTTAACATTGGCATCAAGATTCACCATCGATAGTTTAAGATTGAGCCCAGACGTTATCTCAAAAACGGAACATTTTGGATTTAAAACGCTGGATATCCGAGTCAAAATATTTAAAAGACTACTTAGCACTTCTCTATGAAATTCGATTTTGTTAACCCATTCATCAAAATCCATCTCTCCTGAGAGACCGAAAAGAAAGTTTAATTTATAAATAAAAAATAAACTTAAGTTATGCATATGTATTCTTAAGTCTATTAAGCCAAAGAAGTAGGTAAGTATGAAGTTATTTCCAACGAGCTAGTCATTTTCTATTTCTTGTTCAACAAAAACTGGTAAAGTGGTATTTGGCCTCGAGGTTCCGTTTGCAAATTTTTTTTGTCGAAAAAATCCCGTTATTTATGTTATTTATAATAACATTCTGACATTTCGTTTTATGTCTTCCTTGTTAGATTCGAAAACGCGGATAGCTACCAGCATGTAAATAACAGTGACAAAGACCAAGCATGACGTTTTACTTTCAATAGATATCGATTAATTTACTATAAGTGTTAGTATGTTTTAGCTATAAATAATCGATAGATATTTTTAGCATTAAATTGTTTTGATTTTAAAATCGAAACGTGAAAGTATGTGAACCTACCTCGATGGGCCAAGATCAAGGTCTCACTGTCCCTCTTCCAATGGCCTTCGATATCCATTTATTTGTTTTGTTAATTATTATTATATAGTTTTGTTTATAAAAATCATGTATTTTTACAAATATAAATATATTTAACTTTTAATAAAATTTAAATAATTCATTAAAAACATTAAGTATAAAAATCTGTCTTCCATAAATAGAAGTTAAATATTTTTATATTTACCACACGCATTGGAATAAATCCACCTAAAACGCAAATGATAAAAACAAGCTGTTTTATATAGAAATGTTTTGAAGTGCTTTTTTTTTTTTTCATTTCGACTATAAGTTTGGCACATAAAACTTTTGACTATTTGATATAAATCTTTGGACTATTCTCTGCACTAAATACAGATTCTGTGGTTTTCGACGGATCTATACGTTTCAGAGCCCCCTGTTGTTTTGAAAAGTAATGAAATTCCCTACAAAGCTATATAAAATCGTTCATTTTGGACAACCATTAACGAAGTTACAGCTATTCAATTTTCGATGTAAGATTACTGGTTCATATCCTAGTGTCAGAAAGGGATGAATGAGAGAAAAAAGATAAATAAGTGAAAGTAAGAAAATCTGTTGCCCGCATCACACAAGCTTCACTATTTTCTCTACTTTTAACAGAACTTATTGTTTGACAAAAGTAAGCTATGACAAAAAGTTTTTGATCAGCAATATTAGGAAGTATTGAAATTTTTACACTCATCTGCCTTAAGCCTTAAGGTTTACATTGCTCTAGTTTATCAAATAAATCATACTCAAATCTTTTCTTTGATCAATTTTCAGGAAAATAAATCTAATTAATTTTTGTTTTTGATGGATATATGTAAAGATATAAAAACTTTTCTGAAATAGGTCGGATGGTCGTATGACTGGACACACCAGATTTTTTTATTCTATTATAGGTCAATAAACCATTTTTTTATATTTTATTATAGGTGTCTTACCATTTCTGTTAAATAAACAAAAAAAATATATTCTTTTAAGTATAAAAATCAACCGTAGGTGAGATATTTTGTAAAGGAAAGGTCTTTGTCTTGTGTGAGTCATATTTCAGTTATTCAGGAAAACACTAGTCTTTGTGACCAAATTGTAAACAAATTAGAGATTCAAAAAAGCAAAGAGTCTGGCTATTAAGAACTAAGACACTCTGTATAAATAAAAGATCCAAAATATATTTTTTGAAAATTCTAAACTATGAATGAAAAGAAAATGATGAATGAATCAAAATTTCAAACTCATATAAAGAAAAATGCTAAAGAATCCTCTCTGAAACAAACCAGATCAGCCTTACTACATTAAAGTATCAACTATATTCACTAGCGGATCCAGAATTTAATTTTGGGGGGGGGCTTCAGCCCGAAGGATTTTTTTTTCATATATATAACGATAATTAATTTGAAAAAAGAAAGAAATAAACTAACTACCCATATGGCATGGTGTCTAAGTGATTCTTGAAGTCATATTGAATGTAATTACATGAACAATAATACTTTAAGACATAATTTTTAATATTTTTTTTCTATAAAACATGGTTATATTTTACCATTTTGTGGGGAGGCTTCAGCCCGAAAGTCCCCCTCCCCGTAAATCCGCCTGTGACTATATTAAAGTATCAAATACATTAAAATAATCCAATCGACTATTGTGGCTTGATATCCCTTGAGGTTCAGTCATCACCCTCCTAAGTGTTCTAGATGTAAATCCACTCATATTTGCACCTTTGGGTATATAAAGCTTGTTTTCTGTTAATGAGTTGAAAACTGTCTACTGCTGATATATTTATCTTAAGCTCAGTATGTATATGTACATGAATATCATTTCATAAATCTTAAACTAGAGAGATGTTTAACACAAGGAAAAGCCAATCATTTTTTAATTAAATCGTTACTTCAATAGTCGTTGTAAACTTCACTAATTGTAAAGATTAAATAGACTATACACATATTATATTTGTAGGATGATAGCTTCCTACGTGTGAGAGTTCTCACAACATTATAGTAATAATCTATTATTTTATTCGAACCAAGGTTGGAGATGATAAGCTATTTTTCCATGTTTAAAATATAGTGAAATTTTTGTAAATCAATTATCATAACTTTACGCTAAAATAAAACGAAAAAATAAATACTTTATATAATTGAATACTCTGCTCCAGATTAAATTAGGGTATCAAGATACCTAAATGGCAAGTCCTCATTCTGCCATTCGTTTGGCACAAGGCAACTGAAAGAGAAAGTCCGAGGAATGTAGGTCTAACCTTTGCTCTTCTACTGGAAGACGCCACGATCTACATGACTTTTGGATATCCTGGACATTATCAAGCTTCAGTGATTATCTGGGAGGATAGTAATGATCTAAGTCAGCAGACAGCTGAGACAATGGAGTAATAGTCACCAGCACTAGCGGCTCCAGGATTTAATTTTTGGGGGGGCTTCAGCCCGAAAGACTTTTTTTTTCATATATATAACAATAATTGCTTTGGAAAAAAAAATATAGATACTAACTACTGACATGAAATGGTGTTTAAGTGTTTCTTGAAGTCCTATTAAATGTAATTATACTAACAATAATACTATAAAATATTTTATCATTTTGAGGGGGCTTCCACCCGAAAGCCATCCCGTAGATCTGCCTGTCTTACCAGCTATACGATCTGGTTTAGATACATTATATTTATATAACTATAATTGAAGGAGTTGAACAAGTAAACGTTTATATATGTATATATATATTT